TATATTATAAAAGTTATATTTTTATAAAAGTATGTAGAGAATATAAATAGCTCTCCATAATATTTTAATTCCTAAATAAACAAACAATCATTTTTAATTCTTTACATCTTTTTTTTTATGTTTAATAAAGCCAAGACCGATATTTATCTGTTGCCATAGATACTAAACTCAAGAAACTGCGATTTCTACGAATGTGTGGAATGGATGAAATGCAACAAGTTAACAAGTCATATTAATTCTTGGAATTTAAATTCTTCTTTTACTTCAAAGGCGTTTAAACAAAATACCAAGCAATTAATTGATAAAAAAAACTTTGCAGAGATTGAGAATCGAATTCGCCCAAAAACATAAAAATTATTTTTGTAGGTTTGTAACTAATTAACCGCAATGTCTTAGTTGGAACAAAATCAGTTAATTGGTAGTTTCTATACATATTTAAAAGTAAGATTTCAGAAAAAATTATGTAAATTTGAGAAAACATAAATTTAATTATCTTTTTATACATCAATAATTTTTAGTAGTTGAGACTTTTTTGCTGATTTATAGTATTTGCAGAGCCACTGTCGAATTTCTGCTGTTGTGTTAAGTTTAGTTTTGTTCCGAATACAATTTAGTTATAGAAAAGTATGTACTCTTGAATGAGAAACTGTGAAGTTTTCTTTATACCGCTTAAAAGTATTTGCATGAATGAAAAGGCTTGCTTTGCTTGCATTTAAGGTTGATTTTACTTTGCTACCGTTTCAAAAAGGGCATGCTGTGTTATATGCATTTTTGAGTGCGGTGTGAACTATTATGTATGAGATTTTTTTAATACGTCAGTGATTAAAAATATGGGAAAATGAGCTTGTTTTCATTTTTATTCTATTTGGTTGTCATTTATTTCTACAAAACATACTGATTACTCTAAAATTTAATGAGCAATGCTCCTATTATATTTATTTTCTCATATTAAAAAAAAACTTAATTTTTATGAAATTATATTAAACGTACCCATTTTTTACTGAATAAATTCATTAGTAATTATATTTATAAATTTAATATACAATTAAAGTTGTATATAAATTCATGATGCTTAAAATTTATTTAATAAAATTTTAACATCTCAGCCATGATGTTTAATTTTTGTTTTGTACGTTCCTATTTATTATTCTCTTCTAAACGAATGAATGTCATGAACACATGTATGTCAAAATCACATTTCTTGTCACGAACACAACAAGTTTATTTTTTAATGAATTTGATTTGTCATGATTTATTTAATAAAATAAAGAAAATTAATTAAAATCAAATAAAATGGAACATTTTACATTACTAATATATTGCATATTTTTCAAATCACTTCATATATTTTACGTTAAATTTTTGCATAAAGCAAAGAACAAAACAACATGATTATCTCAGCTTTATACTATAGTCTTTTATAAAAACGTTAATCATTTTGATAAATTAAATAACTAGCGATTTGTTATACCCTAAAATGAAAATATCTTTAAGTATTGCAATCACAATATCTATCTAGCTATATGTTTATGTATGTATATACATACGGAAACCATTCCAGGTAAAATATGTAAACATCATTAAACAATGCATCTTTAAGTTAATGTGTTTAAATAAACAACGAAAAATCTGTACTAGTGTATTATATATTAACTTAAATAAGAACATATTCATTACGAAAATTTCTCTTAAGACTTATTTAATAAATCATGTCGGAACCAAATAGAAGTCTTTCTGCATGAAATGAGATTTTATTGCTTTGTGATAATGTATATTTTGCAGCCTAAATTCAATTACAAATACTTTTCTGTATTTCATTATCAGATTTAGTTGTAGAATAATGTTCAGATAAAATTCTCGTGTTTGTTGGAAATTAATGTATGCATTCTTTTGCTTTTGTAGCCTTTTCATTTTTACTTCGAGTTCTGTTCTATATAGCGAATGTCAGTTAGGCTGCTTGTATTTGCATAATTATATCACTGAGCTAAATAATGTATGCTCTTAGCTTCCTTGCATGCATAGTGCATTGTATTTTCTTAATCTCTCTTTCTGTGCTTTTAATAACAGTTATTTCTTTCTCATTTCTTTCGCAGTGCTTTATGTAGCTTTAGTTAGTACATGTTATGCATGAAATAATCGAATTGATGTCTAAGAATTAATATTTCCGCCATATTATCTCGAGACATGTTAACTATATTACTTAATCTGTAATTAATGACCCAAAAGAGCCGAATATCCTATGTTTATGGAACATAACATTCAAAAACGTATTTTAGGTACATAATTTCATTTATAGAATATAATTATACTATCGCTGGCATAGTTATAGGTTTCAGAAATCTGTTAGTTAAGTTAACAACACATGGAGGAATTTTAAATTTAATTATTTAAAAAATCCGTAATAAATTTAAATAAATTCATTTTCAAGCAAATCATATAAAATTAATTAGAGTATATAAAACCAAAAATCATTTGAATGATTTTATAATATATTCAATTCTTATCCATATTTAATGATACAACAGGAAGTTCTGAACTTGTTATTTTCATTACAGCTCGTTAGCTTCCCCAAAAATCATTGATTTTTACTAAAAGTTATACTTCAAATTGCGTAATTAAACTACGATAAATTTTGCAATTTTTCTTATCGGATTCTTCCCCTAATTATGTAGTTTCTATAGGAAAGTAAAGGAAAATAAATAAAACAAATAATTTTTTATACTTGTCCAAAATTACAGATATATTTCAAAATATTTTCAAACTGATCCTCGTAATCTGCTATTAGGAGCAGTTTCAGTGTAACGGATGATAACTTTTTGACAGATAAAACTATTTGCAAATTCACAAACATAAATATTTGTTCGATATTGAGGCAATGTTAAACAGTCAAATATTATGACCCACTAATTTTAAATAACTGCATTTTTAAGCCTATCAGGCTCAAACAAATCCACATAAACATTCTTAAAATTTATTTTAACTGTCTATATACTTAATGAGTAAATATAACCACTACTAAATCTTCTGGTTATTTGGAAGTAATATTTTATGCCTTTCAAATTTGTTTGAATATATTTTCATATATATGTATTCTACAAATATATTTCTTAAAATTAAAGTTGACATTTCCTGCGCGAAATGCCAAAAGCATCAAACCTCTTAATCTTTATTTATACTAGTATATAACACGAAATAAGTCCGTAGAAAAATATAGATATAAATATATATTTGAAATACTTTGTGTATAAAATGTAAACTGTTATTTTCTTTTAGTTTCCTAACTGGGACTGAAGGATGATACAATTAATTCTTTTTTACAGTAAAATAACTTTAGAATGTGCTAATTTGAGTGCTTAAATTTTCGGTGAAAGAATGATAATTTACAATTTAACCACACTTTTATTGAGACAAATAAACAAAATTAAAATTAATGAGGCACAATAATTTTAATCTACAAGTTAAGGCGCCAAATAATTTACAAAACAAATAAGTTAATATAAACATGATAATATTCGATATATTTTTACCAGAAAGGGATGATAAAATCTCGTAAATCCAAAACGAATAATGACAGATTTTTCTGTCTGAACCTTAAAACTTCTTGTTTTGCTGTTTCAAGTTTTTAATTAATTTTATTTAAAGCAAAAGTAATTTTACTCAGTTATTTAAAATTATTCACTTAACATTTAAACAATTAGGCCTTTTTTGTTAACATTAAGCTCTTAAACAATTAGGGGAAAACTGCTTTCTTTTAAAATTTTACGACTGCGTTTTAACTGCAGTGTTATCTTCTGTTTTTTCTCTGCGAAAGCAGTGCAGCGTAATGTTTTTTTTTTTTTTTTTTTTTCCTGTACACTTACTGTGCCTGGGCTGAAATATATGTCTTTTTAAAGCATTTGCTTTTATGCTCCTCTAAAATAGTTTATAGGAATAACAGCTAAAACTTTAGTAAGTTCTTACACAGTAATATTTAAAAAATTAAGATTTTACTGAGATAACTATTATTGCATTAATTTGCGCTCAGTTTTTCCTTTGATTTTCCTTTCATTGTAAATTAATTTTAACGTTTAATCCTTAATTTTAATTTTTAAATGTTGTGACAAAATTAATTTTATTTATAACGTTATGCAAATATGCATTGCAATAGATATTCGTTTGTAACCTTCCTACTTCTATACATTTATTCAGAGAAAGCATTTAAATGCAACTATGAGTTCACCAAAAATTCAAATACAAAATTACACATAGCGAGACCACATATTCTTTCTAAGCTATGGAAACATTAATTCGCTTAATCTTTTTTTAACGGATTTGAAGTCAACATACAAAATTCGAGCTGGTAATTGCTATTATATTCATACAGCTGTAACAGTTGTCCATGGAGGAAGAAAGACGGGAAGATGCTATTTTACTGCAGGCAGCGAAAAGTAAACGACTTGGTCATATAAATATAATTTTGCTGTTTGCATTAAGTAACATTATTCAAAAATTAGTAAAATTTCACAGTTCTAGTGTAACTAACTGACCAATGATGCAAAACATTAAACTATCATTATTTGACTTAAATAATATAATTGGACGCAAACACGAGACTTGAATTTCGCTTTTAATCCCCAATGAATAAATTAAAGTTTAAATCTTGTTCTCCTTGTTTTTAGTACCTTTGCTTTGCCCTTGAATAATAAGAGCAGCAAGATCATTTTCAATACAAGAATAATGCCAGCATAAATAAACAGTTTTATATCAGCTTTAGAAATATATTTGTCTTATATTTAAGCCCTAAAATAAAGAATAATATGTATAATTTAGTTTTTAATTAATGCATGCATTTATTAAGTAGCTTTTTAAAATTTTAATTTCATAAAACTTCTCATTACATTTAAAAAAAATTTAAAAATCAAATTATTTATTAAAAAAGTCAGTTAAATAATTTTCCAATGCTATATGCATGAAGAAATGTGTTTCGCATTTAAATAATATATTTCTTTTCATATTTTCAGCGGAAGAAGATGAACCGGCTCTAAGTCCCTTTATAGGAATACTAATTGGAATTGTATCGGCCATTGTAATACTTACTATTGTCATCATTATAATAGTTAAATGCAGAACCCGTGAAAGGCAAAAAGGTAGGTGCTGTACTTCTTCTTGATACTTTTCATGCAGCTTACATATTTTTAAAACCCAATTATGATTCGACTTGATAACTGGTTTTAAATCTCAGTAAATGCATATAAAACATTCAGATCAACTTTATTTTAAATATAACATGTAATTTTTATTTCGTAAAACTCAAGAGAAACTTAAAAATGTTATCTTTAGCAGCAAAAATATTCGTTTATATAACAAGGTATCAAGAAAATATTCGTTTTGGGAAGAAAAGTTTTTTCGCATATCTATAACTATAGCTGTATTTAGGCTTATTGATAACTATCGTTATGCATGATTTTTTAATAAGACGGCGGGAATAAACATCTCTTAAGTGGCTGTTAGTAAATCTGCTTTTTTCAGTTTAAAAAATAAATCAAATAAGCTTTGAGATCTAGTGAGGTTCGTTATTTGAATTAATATTTTTAATTTCTTAAAAAAATAAAATTTTAGACGCTTTAGCTTAACAACAAATTCAGTTAGTGAAATGCTTATTATCTTATTAGTGATTTCTGAGGCTGAAAATTCCTAGTGCGTAAAATGAAAAATTAATCACTCTAAAATTAAAATTAAATGACTTAAAGCATTTTGATCAAATATGAATTTTCCGTCTCGGGTATAGTTTTATATGTTTAAATACAAAATTTTGAATTTTAGCATTTCTTCTAATGTAATTCGAAACCGGTTTTTTTTTTAATTTATTTTTTTGTACCTGGAAAAGTACCTTCTTATAAAGCTTTGTTATATATGCATCTCACATTAACAGTAATTTTGTACAGTCTCCAAAATTTTTAATTAATCATAATTTTAATCACTTTAATAGTTTAAAGACTTACATTTCCTCCCTTGGTTAAAGACTACATATAAATGGAAAATACTTTTACATTTTTCTGCATAAAAATAATCTTGTGTATCTAATAAATGTATCACATGACGGGAACTGTCATACTCTGAGCGCGTAGCAGATTGTATTCTTCCTTTAAAATGGAATCGTGGGGAAAACTTTTACGTTCATGTTTTTGATAACCTTGTACTCTCTCTGTCGTACGTATTAATGAAACATTTCTCTTCTTTGTCTCATGGAGTGCTTATATTATGTTATGGAAAAACATATTTTTATTTTCCTATCAATGCACATATAAAGTCTGTATTTTTTAACTCTGGTTTAAAGATATAAAATAAAAATTACATATAAAAACAAAGCCTAACAGTAAAACATTTATTTCATTGGAGTTGCCAAGGCAACAGTAATCAACGTAATACTCATAAATCTTCAGGTTTAAATGTAGAATCTGCTTTTTCAGCTGCCAAAGTGCAAATGACGAAAGAAAAGGCTGTGCTCAGGTGGTAAGAATGAGAGAATGAAAATCAAGTTATTGGCGCCGTCGATTTAATATAAATTAACTATAAAATAATGTTCTTAAAAGCTGAAGGAAAAGACGGATTGGAATTTGAATCGTTAACTAGAAACGAAAGATTTTTATGAATGTGAAATGCTTCTAGAAAATCTAATTCGCCAATAGAAGATTTTCTGGATTTTCTTGGTTTCAGATGCATTCACGGTGGAGGGAATTAAAATACTGACGGGCATCGTGTGATTTGGCAATAGGGAAAGAGAAGTGAAAGGCATCTGGATCCGTCCCCCGGGATGTTCTCAATGAAACTTTGACGAAGCTTCCCAGTTTTTTGCGAGAGAAATTTATCATTGCCTGCGGTGCCCCTTTAGGAATGTTTATTGTGATGAGATGGTTAAATGACCGATGGATATTATCATTTTCCACGAAAGTATTAAATTGGAAGTGCCTGGCCTTTTGGAACAACTGCAACAACAGTCATTTTAAGTAATGTTAATATTGTCTTTTCTGAAACATTTTACAAAATCCATCGTAACATTTAATATTATAACAATTGACATCCAAATATATATATGTCTTTGATCAATATTTAAGGAAGTGAAGCTCGTAACCGTTTTTTCAAACACTGCGCTTTACACTTAAAATATACTCGAGTTATGACTTCGAGTATTAAACTAGTTTCTAAAGGCCATTAATTTTTTCCGGCGTCGGAAGACGCGAAGAATCAGTCGTGGATATTCTCTGGATATCAAGTAACGAATCTGATAATTGACCGCCGGACGTCATTGTAGCAACTATTAGGACATCATTGAATGGCTCATTAGGAATTTTATTCCTATAATTCAATTACATTCTCACGAGGATTCAAACCACGGATCTGAAAGTAACCAGATGGAAGTGGTAACTCCCTGCGTCACAAAGACAGAAGAAGGTAGGATAATTCTTTCCAATCCTACTCAACTTGAATTAGGCATTCAGCTAGCGTCTTAAAAAATAAAATCTGATTTCAAGCTAAAAGTCTCTCAACATATCCACAATCTCCTTTATTATTCTCAGGATCTCTCCATTTGTACGCTGCGGAAATGAAAGAGACCCAAATCTCGTAAACATTTATTCTTCGAATCAAATGATGGAGGTAAATTCGTCATTATTTTGAAATGAAGCTATTATGAAGGCACTTTCTTTTTCATTTGTCTTATTTCAATCTCTTCATAAAAAATGATATAAAGAAGAAAAGAAACACTTTGGAAAACTCTCCTAATCTTATTTTAAAAGAATATCTAGATAAACCCATTTTGTTGAACTAAATGAAAAAAGAAACTTCCAGAGGTGGATTAGGGTACTTGTCAAATCGCTTTCGTACTGCTTGCCGTAACACACTAGAAAAGTCCTTAGGCGAGGCCGTGTTACTAAAGGGATTTCATTTTGAGTGCCCCTTCCTTAAGCTGCGTGTGAGAAACCATCAAATGAGATTTTCGAGCGTGTTTCTGTCTCTCATTCCCTTTTTCTTCTTCTTTTTTTTATTTTCTGTTTATTTCATTGCTGAGAAGAGCGTAAAAATGTCCTTCATTACTGTTGGATGAAGAATTAATTTTTACGTGGATTGCGTTTGATATAGAATACTTGTCTGGAATTTTTAGTGCAGTTTCTCTTATATACAGTTGCTGCTGATATATATGTATATCAACAGCAACTATATATATATATATGTGTGTGTGTGATATATATGTACATATATATATATATATATATATATATGTGACATATATATATATGTGTGTGTATGTGTTTGCGTATGATTTGTTACATCTTATCAGTCTACGTGAGGGTGTTTATAACTCTAAAATAAACCTAATTCACCTTTGTTTAAAATAATCTTTAGTAACAATATTCCTTGAAACAAATTTTAAAAAAATGCCTACTAAAATTATCAGAGTTAGTGTAAAACCAGACTATGTTTTATATGGAGTAAACCAAAATTATTTAATTACTTTTACAGGTGATATCCCCTAAGAATGATTCTTGTGCATGTAATTTAAATTTTTTAAATGTAATCTTTAATATTTGGATACCTGTAAATAACAAGTGGACATATTTTCTTAACAAAATAATTAACAAATTTCTTCGCTTTCTCTTTTGGTTGTTAGTTTTTTTATAAAATTAAATATGCGATCGGCCCCAAATGGCTCTCTAGTATCACATATCTTAATGTTGCAGATCTAAAAAGGTAGCAGCCATTGGCAAAGGTAGCAGACATAGCTTGAACTGCTACAGAGAAAAATAACATTTATAAAGTAAACACTAAAAGCGACTTAGTTAATTACCTCTGAACTGCAGTCTTTCTGAAAACTGTCTAACAACTTGTCGTGAGTCTCGGAGCCATATTTCTATGGTATTGCACTGGCTTCTGGAAATTGCATTTGTATGGTGTTGCATAGGATCACCTAGAGTTTCTGAAGCGAATTGCTATGAAACTTCCAAGAAATTCCAAAGTTGACAAGAAGTTTCTAAATGCCATCAACTTGACGATAATTCTTATATCCAAGGCCCATCAAGACCGCTTATATTTCTGGTTCGATTTCAATCGTTTTCATAATTTAAAGATTGTTGGATTCAGAATCATAATTTCTAAAACTTTGTACAAGAAATAGACATTTAAGAGCTATTTAAAGTGACTAATTTAACTTAAAGCGCTAGATTATAAGTTAAGAAACCATTATTATTTCTAGTTCGAGATAAAAATCTTACTTCGAATAATTCATGTCTATCGACTGTATCAAAACAGTCAGACACATCCTAAGCAAACACTGATAAAAATAAGCTAAGAAAAAAACTAAGAAATGCAAGTTAAAAGTCCTTTTACCAGCACCAGTGAATAATACTTGTAAGTAATATCGTTGAGTGAAGAAAAGGAGTCCCCTGGAATAAATATGAGTATTACTGAGTAAGTTATATATATATGAGTAAGTTATATATATAAGTTATGTATATATGAGTAAGTTATATATATAAGTTATATATATATGTAAAACTCATATGTACTCATATGAGTTTTACTGAGTAAGAATCTGTTTGCTTATTTGAATGCATTAAAAATCACAACAGCAATGCATTTAAGGGCATGGGATACTTCTATGTAAGTCTTTCTAAGAAAAACTCGTTCACATTTACATACTAAATAATAGTAATCACGAAAATTTTCTCACATAAAAATAATTTAAAATTAATTTCGAGATATTAAATACCTAACATGACTAATCAGATTACTATTACAAGTAATTTCATAGTACTTTTAATGCTTCCCTAAATCTTGAAAACTTTTCTGTGGTTTTCTCACGGTAGCAACAACAATGAATAGATCAATAAATAAGTACATAAAATAAAATTTAAAATTCAAGGTATTTTCTTCCTCCCTCTTTTTGTGGTGCAACGGGAAGCATTCTCGACATGCATTCGAAAGGTACAGGGTTCGACTCCCGGCGATGATGCTGCATATTTTTCAAGTCTTCTGCTTTACAATAACCAATAAATCTACTACTGGTACTCGAAGTTAAAGGTGGTGGACGATAACTCTTCGTCACAAAGGTTTGACAATTGGTCCTCCCCCAGACGCCTTTTAAAAGGAGTACATAAGGCATTTTCTCTCTCCTTTTCGCATGACTCGGTGGTGTAATTGGAAGCATATTCGACGCGTATTCAAGCGGTCCAGTATCCGGCAACAGCACTCGATATTTTTCACTTCCCCTGCTTAAAAAAATTCCTAGTAACTCTATAATACACTTTATTTTAGATACACGATATGGATTTTGTATCCTATTCATTAAACTCAATGTTTGATTATTACATTCATAGTTTTTAGCTCAATTCCAAATTGAGTACACCAGTATATTGTTTTTATGATAAGTAAAATAACAGAAGGAAACGAACAATTTTTCGGATTGAGAAATAAGCCAAGAAAATGAAAAAAAAAAAAAAAAAAAACTAACTCACCTGTTTATTAATTCAATTAAAATAATTGTGGAGATTATTAAATTTTTCAGGTGGAAAAATCAACTGTGCTGTACACGGATTCGAACCAAACATCTTCCGGTTACCAGCTATCTGAAAGTGCTTCAATGTGATAACCATTTACGCCTCGAAAGTACACAAGGGGACAATTCTATAATCCCTTACGTGATTATTCTCAGGATATACAGTGTAAAATTTTATGTAATTTTTCTCAAGTTTCGTTTGAAATAATCTTTAATAATTAATGGTTTCAGTTCTTTGTAAATGAAAACATCAAAACTTAATTTTTCATCAATTTCTGCAAGTTGAAACAAACAAATATATATATATTACATATATATATATATATATATATATATATATACGTATAAAGAGAAAAAGGGTGAAAAATTCTTTGAAGAATTCCTCATATCTGTATTTCATCAAGAGGATAAAAAAAATTACAAATTCCAGGTCTGCATCGCCTTCATCCAAAATCACTTCTTGCATGATCCCTTGTAATTGCCGAAAGAAGGCGAAGGGAATTTCGCAATTTCTTTCGAATACCAAGTTACAGGATGCACTTCAGTGAGACTCTCCGGATATCGTCTTGGGGTTAATATTTCTGCATCCATTTCAAGAAGGATGCAGTTTCCCTTTAATCCTCGTCTGTCGTCTTGGCATGTTTCCATCGACAAGAAAGAACAGCAGCAGAAATCTCTCCACCACTGCATTTATTGCAATGCTTATACAAATCGAGTGCTGGTGACCACAGGGAAAACTTTCACCACGACCAAATGCAACCAAAACGAAAAGAGAAAAAACGTAAACAGATTTCTTCTCGGAAAAACTCTTTTGATTTATGAGTGGTGAGAATACGTTTCGTGTGCATCGATGTGGGTTTTACGTGGAAAAGAAAAGTGCAAAAGCGTCTCAACGTAATTCAAACCAAACGTTTTAATCGTTACTCCACAAGAACCGAATTTCAGAAATATATGTATATTCGCGGACTAGCAAAAAATATTCCTTTTAAAATATTTGTTCCACTTGCATAGAAATAAATCACATAGGCAGGAAATGTGTATCTGGATAACGGCAAAGTTCAGTGAATATATGACAGAATAAAACTGAAAATAAAGAACTAGAGATGTTTTAAATAACAGTTACCTGTAAGATCTTAAAATGCAAGTATAAACTTCTCTTCAAATATAAATGAAAATTTTATATATCCACATGCACAAACGTGAAATACTATCCTTCAAATTTTGCTGCTAAACATGCATGAATTGCACTGGATAAATAAATTTAACTGCATAATATAAAAACATTTAGTATAATTAATAATTCATGGAAGAACTTCAACTGTTATTGTTACAAATAAAACTCAGAATGCACTAAATAGTTTTAAACTAACAGGCACCTTTTTCATAGAATATATAGACCATTGCCTAATTATTTCTATACAGTTCGCTGAAACTAGCTATTAAACATTTACGTGAATTATTTAATTGAAAGGAAAGCATGAGTTTTGCTCAAAAGGGTGTTAACCCGTATGGGATATTAGTCTCGAAACTGGATTTTAAGTTGTTTCACTACAAACGGCTGTATCACATTTCAAATGGTGCCAACAAATACGATTATTATTGCCCTGTATTATTTTTAAATAAATTCAATAATGACGAATCTTCATGTATGTACGCTTGTTCCTCGTACTGTAAAACAAGATGCGTTCTTGGGCTAACAATTTTGAATAACGTAGTCCTCCATCCAAAATGTGCACTTGGAAGAGGGAATTTTGAATTCCGAATTTTATATTTAATGATTTTTTATTAATAAAGCCAAAGATTTGGAAACGAGCAATGGCAAAACTGTACAGAATAAAATATTTTTATCTCCAGCACGTGTCTATCTGAAATCCTAAAGCAATGCTGCTGTTAAATACTTTGCGATTTTGCTGTTGAATAGAATTTTATATTACGTAAGTGCGAAGAACATGGTATTTACTTAATTAATCCAATACACAAAATACAAAATGTTAATAGTAAAAAAAAGCGATTTGTAAGACATATTACTAAGAAAACGGAGCATTAATATGAACTTGGAAAAAAAAAAAAAAAAAAAAAAAAAAAACGCAAGTAAATAGAAAAAAAAATATATGCCGACACTTTATCAGGAATACTAAAAAGGTTCTGCTATGTGCTGCTTTTAAAATTTTTGTGCTTTTGTTATTGAATTTTACATGGCCTAGATTACATTACATCAAATAAAATGATAAAAAGACAAAAAGAAAAAGTTTACCAAGAGAAGGAAATAGTACAGCAGCAGACTGGTAGACTGCAAGCTCAGTGAGATGTAAAATAATTTATCAAATCCTTTTGGTGACCGTTAATATCTTAATCCTTTCAGATTTCTCTCTCTTATTTTTTTTTAATCTGAAAAAATGATTTACTCTTGAAATGGGATTTGACGTCGGTTTATTAAAAATGGAGTACAACTTTTCAAATTGTTGCCACCACACATTATCCCCTGTATTATTTTTAAGAATTATTTTTATATTTAATGATTTTTAATTTAAATAATGAAGAATATTCATGTATGTTCCTCGCATTGTGGAAAACAACGCTACCTAGAGCCATCAAATTTTGAAGAACATCGTCCTCCACCCGAAAATGTACATCTGGGAGCACGAATTTGGGATTTGAATTTTATATTTTTTGCTTCGTTCCCGTACCGTTCCCGTACCTATTCGCACATTTTTTTTTTTTTTTCGTCACTGCACGCACTAACAGCATAAAAGTCTTTTTTGATTCAAAACAGATTGTAAAGTGGATTTAAAAGGGACTTTCTCGTGATGTCTGCACGTACGTATGTATATATATCTCAAAAGCGTTTAGTTACATAATTTTGAAATTCTTTGTATGAGACTGCTATAACATCTAGTTGTGTGCCTCACTTTTCCATTGCAATCGGCAGTAACAAACGTATACATGTATATAACTACTCTCCCTACCCCGCTTAAAAGTTCTTATCCGATCTGCATTTTCGCAATCGTTGGTCACAGTCATAAACTTCCAAGAACATTATTTTAAATGACGAAATCGACTGGGATATTTTATTTTAAAATTTGAAATTTTTTCTGCTATTTTCGTTTGTCTTAAGGATTGGTTAAGCAAGTTAAAATACCTCGAGGAATGAAATTTGAATGAAGTACAATCAAAATACAGAAGTATTTAAGGACGAAAATTGGCAGTGTGATATTTAAAAAAAAATAGACAAAAAACGAAATCAAATTTTTGGTGCGTTCTTCCGGTTTCGACTTTTATATTTGGGAAATTTTTATGTTTGCAATGAAAAATAAAATTACAAGGAGTTTGACTCCTGTACGGGAAATTTAGTTTTAAAACTTTGCAATTTTTGCTGCCATTTTCAACTTGCCTTGAGGGATCGGTTAGTTAAGTTAAAATAATTCGAACAAACAAGTCTAAATCAAGTGCAGTAAGGATACAGAAGAGTTTTAAATGACGAAAATATTCATATTTTGGTAATGTCCGATTTATAACAGAACTGATTTTGGGCAAATAATGAAATATAACTTTTAATACGGCCTCCCAGTTTCTATACTAGAAAATGCTTTGTACACTTTATAAAAAAATACAAAAAACAAGAAATTTAACTCCCGTACGGCAAAAAGTGCTCAAATTTCAAAATTCGCGGCTTTTGATGCCATTTTCAACTTGCCTTGAGGAAACGGTTTATTAAGTTAGAATAATTTTAGGAAAGAAGTTTAAATTAATTCCAGGGAAAAAAAAATTTTAATAGTCTGTACAAGGAAGTCATGTAGCGTCCACCTCATATTTTTTAAATTATTCTTAATATTACACTGACATACGCACATGTTGAGATGCCTTAAATTGTTCTTGACTCGATTTAATGTTACACATGGAAAAAAACCTTAAGAACGCTTATGTAGCTAGCCCGTTTGCTGGGAATTCAATCTCGGACCGAACTGTCAGTATTCAGTGAATATACCGCTCTGCCGCTGGTGGGTGTAAAGGAACAGGTTAGTGTTAAAATTAGTTAGTAAGATAAAATTAGTGTTAAAATTAGTAAGTTAAAATTAGGCCAAATAGCTATTTTAGCTTGTTAGAGATATTTCAATATCTCTGCTAGTCTAAAGCTTTTTTTAATCCCTTTTTTTCTTATTTTGAAGCATGCGTATAGGTTATAAGGTATTTCTCCAGCTTTCTTAGCATGCCTTAGTGGTGTAGTGGTCAGCACACTCGGCGCGTATTCGAGAGGTCCGTGGCTTGAGTCACGGCGAGAACATTATTCATTTTTCTTCTCTCCTGCTTCGAAATATCCTAAAGTCTCTAGAGTGGCTTCCGAACTAAAAAGATGGTGAATTATGATTCTTCCTCACCAGGATTTGTCTGTTGTGTCCCTTAAACTTTAGTCACCCTTTAAAAGAAGGATTTATATAATTTCTCCCTCCTTCTTAGCATGCCTTCGTGGTGTAGTGGTCAGCACACTCAGCGCATATTCAAGAGGTCCGGGTTCGAGTCCCGGCGAGGGCATTGCTTATTTTTGATCTCTCCTGATTTCAAAAAAATATTTAATGTCTCTACAAGGTTTTGAGTAATACTTTGCACGGTATTCCGAAAGATATTAGATGCAAACACGGCTAAGGCAGTTTAATATTTATTGGTCGACCCGTGTTTAAATCTCGGCAATCAGGTTGACTGCTTACAAGGTTTCGTGTTTTTTTATTACGTGTTACTTGGTGCCAGCTAATTTTCATTAGAAAAGAAGACATGCCTCTAGATTTAAGAGGAAAAAGGCTTTGCTATAATCAAATACAAACATAAAATTAATAAAATATTTCACGCGCAGTTAATTAAAGTTGGTTTCGTTTCTTATCTGTACAAATCTGAAATGGAGGTTATTGACAATGACCTTTGGCGGCTGAATTGAGTTGCAACTTTGGTAATAATTGTTCCTTTCTTTGTAAAAGACGCACAACTACTTGTATATTGCCTCTGAGGAAAAACCACTAATTTAAACATTTAGCAGAACTCGGCGATTACATTTTATCGCACGCATGATGCCTGGAAGCACATATTCTTCACTGAAATGCTGAAAATAATAGCGTTTTTGACGCTTCTCTGCCTTTGACTACTACATCACCCCCTCAATGCCGGAATGCTTCGAGTTTATAATTCAGCTCTTAATGGTTGCTTTAACCTGAACTGAAAGAATCAGAAGGGAACTCACGTACAAAGGGGCCGAGCTGGAAGTCAGCGAATTTATTGCTTTGCAGAAATTAGTGGGCTTGTACAATATTTTCAGTCCAATCCTAGTCCAGGTTACAGCAAAAGCAGACGTGAGCTGGATTCCGATGGCTGGAATTAAAAAGATGACGGTTCTCAACCTTTTAAGCGATGAATTATGGATGGAGTTCAGTTTTTATAATTTGATTTTAGTGCCTCTTTGTGCGACGGCTTGTGCGCGACGAGGATATAAATAGGCTTTCAAAGTGTTTATGCATTGATTTATAAGGATAGGAATTTAGTAAGGGGATTATTTATTGATTTTTCATCGAGGAGGTAGAGGCATCTTGGAGAAATAGGTTAGTTGCATCGTTCTCCAATTGCTTTCAACGTAAGTAAATGTTGTTTCAATTCGAGGGTTTTGTAGGTTGGATTTATTGGTTGAATAAATTTGAATAGTGAAACCTTGGAGTTTTAAGGAAAATTTTTAAATTATATAGGCGAATTCGAATTTGTACGCATGTTTAATAGCTACTGAAATAGATCAAAAATGAAATTTTGGAAATGGTTTCAAAACGAAATGACCATTGTATGGTACTAAAATACATTTTGTAATTCATAAATGATATAAAAATGTCTAACTACTGCATGAAATGGTTAGAAATTGAGGCTTAAATTTTTATTGAAATATATTTAAGTGTTTGATGACTTCTGTCTTTGCTAACGCTCACTTGTCTCACGTATAGTCAGCCCAAGCCAACGAAATTCCTCATGACAACGAGCGCAAGATTACGCGTGACTTTGACAACAGCCTTGAGCACCTTACAGATGGCAGTGCGATTTAGCTTAGTTCCGCCCTCAATTTTGATGGAGAGCACCCCGGGGAGATGGGTTCGAGGTTTTCACACCCCTCTTTGCCTACCACCAACCTCTCCAGAGTACTTTTAGCTCGCCGCATATTTAGAGTACCCCCATGCTGCACGGACACTATACATTTACAAACATCCATGCCTTCTCCGGGATTCCAGCTCGTGCCCTTCGGTACGGCAATCAGCGACGCTAATAATAATAATAACTATACCTGTTGAGCGACTTGATGACTTCTTCATATTTAATACTAAAACAATGTTTATTTCATTACATATAAGGGAAATACTTTTTATTTCAGTAATTTTATTTTCTGTCCGTGTTTTTTATAATAAGTATATTTAATTTTTATGGTATTTACCATTGTGCCCTAGTTATTTAAGCGATAACAATATATTTAACAAATTGCCAAATAACTGCCCCTAGTCCTATCCACGCCCATTTACTTCCCGCCCCTGTAGCGAGAGGTGTATACAGTATCAGCCTTTATCTGAGCAGCAACGGTTATTATACGTATTTATTGATAAGCTCTCGAAATTTGTATTAAATATGTTGAGAATGTTGCAATTAAAAGTACCTAACTTTCTCCTTTTTAACTCATTAATGCATAACGGATAGTTGATATAGAGAAACCTTTGCTATACGAATTTACCATATGATATTTTTAATCTCTCCAATCTAAAAATTTGAAACTTTTTCTCAAAACTTTATACTTTTTCAAAGAATCTCCTCAGCCAGAAGTATGTAAATAGGACTAACATGCAAGCAAACGAAAGCCTGCAGCAAACTCTTTCAAAAACAGTCTGTACGCATTCTAAACCTATACAAAAGAAGAGTTTTTAATATTCTGTATAAATATTAAAACATAATATTCAATCGAATTTTACAGGGAAGGTCCACCACAGATTTCACTGCCACAATTTTCAGGGTTTCGGGTATAATCTAAATCGGTAGATAATAGAATATTAATATCATTATTATTAGTAGATACTGAAACTAATTCTAAACCTGTCAAATGATCATCAGGAAGCTCGATTCTGATCCTCATGCTGCCAGATCCATCAAATATATTAATGGTATGGTCATATCTGCCAGACTTCCTAACCCTTGGCGATCTTTTGGCAGATCAATTTACCGCCGATCATGAGTCGTTGCGAAGGTTGTGTGAAAGCAAACATACCTCGGAAAGATATCTCTGTATAAATAAACGCAATATTTGTAATCCCTTGCGATTTTAATGGAAAAGAAGCTCTAAAATGATCTGAAGATCATGTCTTTGCGAAGAGGATCGAAGCATTCGGTTAGGGCTACGCGCGAATGGGATTAAAAGGACTTTGTAAACTGAAAGTATCCATCTGGAGATCGATACGTAAGTAAGAACATAAATACCCTATAATACTTTTATCTGTCCTACAGTCTGTAAACGGATACCTCCCTTCCGTAAACTTCCTTTCTTGTATTTTACACTTTGGGGGAGAATTCTAAGTTTATTTGTTCCGTTCTGATCTAAAGAGGTGTTTTAGTTTCAATCTTATGATTCAGATATTTCCGTTTATTTGTGGAAAATGATACGTGAGCTTCCTATATTTTAAATTAAACTTTGATAAATGTTTGTTATTCAGTTTGAAAATTTAGCTAAACATTGAGAAAAATTCATTACATTTTACTTCATTTAGTTTTCCTTTAAGATACGTTCTTGGGTTCGCATTAGCAGTAAATTTCGTAATGTATTTAAACCAACAAGATATGCAATATGTTGCATTTTTCAGTCAATTATAAAAGTTAAGGAAATAATGAAAGGGAAAAAAAAGATGTAATAAATTAAATTTTGAATTTTTTTAAGTAAGTGAAGAACACTTTTTGTGAAGTTTTTCTTTAATACCCCCTACAGAATAGTAAGTGACACTGAATTTTTCTATTAGCCTCTAAATTATTGAAATATTGTTTTAGATTATAAGGTATTTCTCCCACCTTCTTGGCGTGCCTTCGTGGTGGGGTGGTCTGCAAACTGGGCCGGTATTTCAAAGGTCTGCGGTTCAATTCCCGGCTTTGTTAATTTTTCACCTTCCCTGCTCCCCCAAAAAAATCCTTATGTCTCTACATTGGCGCCCGAACTAAAAGGGAGGGGGTGGAGGATGTTTTCACCGCACCCAGGATGAAAAAATCCCTGTTTTAAAAAGAATGAAAATTTTGGCTATTGGGTCCTCTAAAAATCCCAGTGGTCATTTGAAGGGGGCGTATATAAGGTATTTCTCCCTCCTTCTTGGCGTGCCTTCGGGGTGTGGGGGTCTGCACATCGGGCAGGTATTACAGAGGTCTGCGGTTCGATTCCCGGCGAAGGCTTTGTTAATTTTTCATCTTGCCTGCTTCCATAAAAATCCTAATGTCTCTACAAGATAAAATTAACTTTTCCTAAATGATGATTTACTTGTATATAAAATTTATAGAAATGTTTTCGTCTAATCAATCAAATATATTACATCTATGTGTAAAATGTTCGATAAAACTTCTACTTACATCCCCTCCATGCAAAACAACTTTTAATTCCATTTTTCTTTTATAATATTTACATTAAACGGAATATAAATTATTCAGGAAAAAAAGACTGTTTCATTGCACTCATCACTATCATCAGTGTTACTTTCATACATTTACAGATGGAGACACTAACAAATTTTAAGCTTCTTTGGATGTTCTACTTTAGGATGCTACTTTCGACAAGCGCGATTGAATCAAAAATAAAAACTAAACTTTTAGCCCAAAGGGGCGTTAGCCCAGAAGGGATGTCCGGAAACGACATTTTGCGTAGATTCACTATAAACGTCTGTATCAGAATGCTTCCACCAAATATTATCGCCCTGTATTATACTTAAAGAATTAAATAATGAACAGTCTGCATGAATGTATGTTATGTTTCTCGCATTGTAAAAAAACAATACCTAGAGCCATCAAATTTTGAATAACATATTCCTCCACCCGAATATAGACACATGTACACACGAATCTGGAATTCTGAATTTGTTTTATTATCTATTTAATATTGTTTAAACTTTAACAAATTTTTGATTAAGAAATTGAACAATTTCAAAGAGATCAGTGGCAACACACTGTACGGAATAAAATATTTTTTATCTGAAGCTCGCGAGACTATCGGGAATTCTAAAGATATACTGTTTTTAAATATTTTAGCTCAAAGGAGCATTAGCTCAAATGGTCTTAAAACGTGTATTCATGTATAAATGGGGAAAAAAACGCCACTTTGGGCGTAATATAAAATCAGAAAGGCCTTCGGATTTTTTATTGCAAATAAAATAATATTTAAATAATATACGTAAGAATCCAGATATTTCGATAAAAAATAAATTTTATAGAAGTTAATTTTTTTAAACATTGGGCTCTGCTATAATCTAGTGATTACACTCAGTACAATTAGTTGCTCT